CCCTCACAGAGCCGGCATGAGGCAAATAGTTTGCTGCTGTGGACAGTCTAAATCAGTCCCATATCCTACACCTGGGATCGAAACAAAACCACGTTTATATCCACAACATTTCCCCTTTTCTGTTTAAAACAACAACAACAAACAAAACAACAGAGAAGGGAGGAAGAGATGTAAGAAACATAGGTAAAATGTAGTTAAAAAGTAGCGCTAACCATGCCACAGCCTAACAATTTCTCCATGTTTCCTTCCAGATCACTCCTGTTCCTGGTACACACCCGCTTCTAGTTTTTGTCAATCCCAAAAGTGGCGGGAAGCAAGGAGAACGGTATGCTTTTAAAAGTCATGTTCTTTGTTCTGTATCATAAAGGGGAAAAGATAAACCACACTGCTTTTCAATGGATAGTAATTCTAGTGATGCTAGCTACCACCTGAATGGGACAAACTGAGGCGAATCACAACCATTCCCAAGGAAAAGAATTTCTATGCAACTTCTAGGCAAACTGTATGACAGTGACTTTTCTGCCTAAGTCTCAGAGTTCATGATATTGTTTTTCTTGATGATGCACAGTATGTCTAACAGGAATGAAAGAACAAACTACATTGCCAGGCACCTCAGTATTTTAGCTGAAAATACTAGATTTTACTTTTTTGATGGATTAATGATGAAGTCGTACTATGTAACACAAATAGGAGTAGCAAACCATTGAAGAATGTGGTCTAGTTGAAGATGGGAGTCACAAAACCAGTTACACTTGTCTAAACCCTGCTGGAATGTCTTTTTAAATCTCCTATGTGCAAAGAAATAAAAGAAAACATTGTCACTGTGGATCAGAGTCCATTGTTGTTTACAACCAATTAGAAGACTTTCCGTCCCAGTACTAGAGTTTTAAAAATTAATTTTTCTGTTGTCATTTAACTTCTGAATAATTTTGATTAGATGGAGCTTATTCATGTTTTTCAACAAATTATTATAAACTACCTTTTACCAACATATATTTATGTTTTACTCTGGGAAGCTTATGACATACTAATAACTCAAAACTTTAAATTTCTACAGTATCTCATTAAAGAGATCAGCTGTGTTGCTCATGAAAATAAAAATTAAATAATGCAAAAGTACCTTTTCTAACAAGCTTCATATAGTACATGTATCTCTGTAATTAAATTGACTTCATAAATAATTAAAGCAAAAAAATGGTCAATAGTAATAGGTTGTCTTGTGGTATAGTTGCAACATTGTCTAATGTACAATCAGGATATAGATATATATCCTCAAATGTTTATCATTTCTTTACAGTGAAGACTAAAATATTCTTTTTTCTAGCCTAAGGAAGTGTACATTATCTCTTGCTACCTAACTAAGTGATAGCAAAACAGGACATTTTGCTCCTGTGTAATTGTTCTTCAGTACCCGCTTGTCAGCCTTCCCATAATGATTACAGCCTTTGGGAATGTACAGTGTACTCTCACCTCTGAGATCAGTATGTTCAGATTCCACAAGTGTGACCTGCTGTACTTATCTATTTCTGCGTAGCTCATTTTACTCTGCATAATGATCTCAAGGTCTACCTATGGGGTGAGAAAATGACAGGCTTCCGTACTGTTTTCCACAGCGAAGCAGTGCCACGTGTACTTTATATGTTCATAATATGGTAGACATGTTGGTTGCCTCCAGTTCTGGGCTGCTGTGAGCCATTTTGCAGCGGGTGTGGGGTGCAGGTGCAGGGGCAGGTTCCTGCCTCTTAGCAGTCTGAGGTTGGCTGAGGCTGCATAGTGTGTGTTTTCCTAAGCTAACCAGGGCTCTATAGTGAGAGGCCTTCTCGACAGCAATCAGGGCTCTATAGTGAGAGGCCTTCTCGACAGCAATCAGTTTATCACAGCCACAAAATTAAATAAGCGTCTAAAATATCTTCAAGTCAAAAGGCAATATTTATGTAATGGAATTTATAAAACCTTGACTAAAGATCAGTAGGCAACATAAAACATAGCCTGGTTTTCCATGTTCATAGCTTGAAATAATCAAGGCTGGTATAATGTAAATTACACAACTGAATCTGTAGGTTCAATGTGATTCCAATAAAATATTCTTTACAGACTAGATTGTATATCATCTCACTTAAAGAAAAAGACAAAGGAGAAAGAAAGACTTAAGTACAACTAAATACCTAAGGAATTATACAACCTGAATTCAAAATCTTCTACAACCCTTCAATCAACTCCCATGGAACTTGCGTAGACACACATAGGACAATGGAACAGAATAAAGAGTTTAAAAGTAAATTTCTTCCAGGACAGCCAACTGTTTGGACAGAGGTTCAAGGATGTACATTAGAGAAAGGAAGCCTTTCCAATAATCCACTGGGAAAATTAAACATCCAGTGTAAAAGACCCAAACTAGCTTTTTCACCCTCACCAGTTACAATGATTAACTCAAGACAGACTAAAGACTTAACCATAAATAAAATTGCTAAAGGAAAATGTTTCAATATGTTGGCATTAGTAAGGAATTTTGGACTAGATTTTTCAAAACACAGGAAATGAAACAATAACATTACAAGTACCTTAAAGACAAAATGTAACCTGGCCACAAACAATTAGATAAGACTTGACTCTACATTGAACACTAAAGACAAAGTCTTAGCAGAAAAAGTATAAAATATGTTTTAAAGGAAAGTACACTTCTCCACATTTAGTTTAAGATAGCCTAAGTCATGTAGAGTGGCCCTTAGCTTAATAACATGTGTCCAATTGTTTAATACATATTTTCTTAAAAGCAAGTCAGGTAGAAGTACTTTGAAATCATAAGGATATAGTAAGGACAGTGAGGCTTTGTTTGCTCTAATGAATATACTTGAGTCTTTGTTATTTATATGCTCACCTTCACCATTAAAACTCAAATTATGGGAACTTGAGAGCTGGTTTGGTGATCCCAAAAGGGGAGGCTAGCTGTTACTACACTGTTGACTGGAGACCAGTCTTCCTCAGATAGGCAAGGGTTGCTTCTTTTATAGTGGGTGCAGACTAAGAAGGAATAAACATGGAGTGGTAAGGGAAGAAAGGGTCTCCCTCGTGGTCAGCTGGGTCAGCAGATTTACCCCTAGAACATGGGGAAAGGTGCTGGGAAATGCTGTCTCCTGAACACGATACTGATTTTTATGCAAGAACTGACAGTAGCTGCTATTATCTGTAGAGGACCCAACAGAGGAAGATTAAGCCATCCAAAGTTTCCAAATAGATGGTGGAGGGCGTCAGGAGTCCTACTCCTGAGTAGCTCTTGCTAGCTTAAAACAGCTATCAGGGGCCATCATCCTTTTGAGGCCTAGTACCTATTAGGTGGCCCAAAGTCCAGCGCAGTGTCCATGGCCATGCACAAGTGGAATTAGTGGGTGATTTTACAAAAGAATAAGACGACTTGAAGAAGGAGGTGGATGCATGGCTGGAAATCACCTTATTGATCACAAGGGCTGATTTGAACGGGCCCTTCCCACCTGCCCCATCACCTTTCCAAGTTCATTCCTTCTGAGGCTGTGCTCACAGGGAAGAGGAAAGCCTTGCCTGGCAGAGGAGAACTGGTCTTTAGTCACAAACACAGGAACAGCTAAGATCCTCTGTTAGAAACACCAAACAAGCCCTCACGGTCACTTAAATTTACTTTTAATCATCAAGGTCAACATAAAAGTGGCAAAGAAAAATGTATGTGCTGAAGATTGCTCAGGGCAACACTGGCTTCACTGATGAACGGAGGGAACAGAAACAGGTGTGGGAAATATGACCATGTTTCATTAAACACATGTATAAAACTGTCAAATTATAAAAGGATCTGTCCAATAAAATAAAAAGACGTGTTTAAAGAGATTCGTTCAGAATGCAAAGTTTTCCTGTGAGAGGTTTCTTTCACAACAGGATTCCCTATATACCTACACTTTCTGTTTTTTTTTTTTTTTTTTTTTTACTTTGATATGTTGAATAAATGGCAAAATGTCATGGAATTATAGATTCACACAAAGTTTCCTGTAACAGTCAACAGGTGTGAAAATTTTCACACATCAATTCAGACAGCTCCTGCTGGGCACGTCTAAGCTTTACTGACATCTTTTATCACTAGGGTTAAAGACGTAAGGTTTAAGGTTGGGGGTGGGAGTGCATGTCAACACACATTTTACAAAACCACGTAAAGAATGTTGACACAGAAAGGTTTAAAATACAGTTGCCATGAAAGTTCGGAGGTGGGAATGAATGTGTGTCAAGACTGAGAAGTCTTGGAAAAAGCACTCTCCTACTGGGTGTTACATAAATAGATGCTCAGCAGATGAATGAAGTAGAGTTGGGTTCCTGAAAGGGCGTGCTGTCACCAGGCGCGCCTAGCCAAGAGTGTCGTCTAAGGGGAAGGTTAAGAGACGGGCTGTAGGCTCACGGTGAAGATGTTTGAGTGTTTCCATTCCCTCACTTGAAACTTGTGGGTAGGGACAATCAAGGGTGAGAGACACTGCTCCCTTAGAAGGCAAAGGACTTTTCTAACCTTCCAGCTCTTGGACTACGATAGGGAAATGACTGATGACTCTAATATCATTTCTGAGATGCTATATAAATGAAAATTTACCTGTTAGAACAATTTAGCAGTTTTGTGAGCTGAAGATGTTCATATGCTTTCTTTACTTATACAAATGTATACTATAAAGTATATAATCATACTTTATATATGGGATAATTCTTATCTTTATTTGTTAAGTCCAATAACAATATTGAGATCTGTGAAGAGAAGCCTATATCTGCAGCCATCTATTAAAAGAGTATTTTTAGGGATTTGTACTGAAATAATTTTTAAATATGTATTTAAGTTCTAATTAATGAAATAATGTTTAATGGAGGATTATCAGCTGCCGCATTATGGCGATGTGTGTGACAACTCCTACCCTCGAGCTGTTTTATCTTTAAAAGGTCTGTGCACTTTCTTTGCAGGTCCATTCGTTCTGTGTACAACTATAAATCTGATATTACTAAGGATGGATTTATAAAAAAATTCTTGATGATATAACATTGATGATATCACGTTGTTGAAATTGGTGTTGTTTTATACTAAATCCCTTGCCTTCCATATTTTCACATTTATAGAATTTACAGAAAATTCCAGTATCTTCTAAATCCTCGTCAGGTTTACAGCCTTTCTGGAAATGGACCAATGCCAGGGTAAGTAAGCACGAGGATAACTTCATTATCACTGACTTGTCTAATAGTCACTAATTCAGTGACCGGTGTGACATGTCAAGAAATGTTACTTAACTTCTGCAGAGAGATCAGTATGTGAAAAAGAAAAATGATGCAGCTACATAAGACGAGCAGATACAGACCCTGTTCTTCAAAATAGCAACACACTTCATGTTGGCATTTGTTCTAAATATTGGAGGCACTACTAATAATCCTGAACACACACACACACACACACACAGTCACACACTCAGTCACACTCACTCACACTCATACGTACACTCACACACATAGAGCATAGCAAGAATGAAAGCTAATAAGCCTTGTTAGAACTGCTGTCTTTTACTTGTTCAATATTAAGTATAGATTTGTTGCAGTCTGAAAAAAAGAAACTAATTAACAAAGACGAGAAATCATAATATGATTTCCTCCTTTATTATCTGCAGAATCTAATGACTACCACTCTCTTATAACATAGTTTATTATTAATAGGTAAGGCAGAGTAGAATAAAATTATATTTTCAATATGAAACATGTACTTTTGATTTCATAAACGTAGACTGAACTAAATTATTATTAATTTGGCTTCATTAGGTTATTAACGTCATCCTCTCACGGTGACCTCTTTTCTCTCTGCCAGCGTGGCAATAAACAGTAGACCACAGAGAGCAGAGAAGCTGAATAAGCCTCTGTACCCTCTTAAAAACAAAAGAAAACCAAGTTTAAAGTAAGTCCTGTGGGGTATTTTCCAAGTACTAGGAGCTAAATACTCAAATGGTTTGTTTTCTTAAATATGAATAAATTTTCTATCATGATTATATATGTAAAAATCATGTTAATAAAACAATTAGCATAATCTCCTAGAACTGAAGTTGTCTGTTATATACTTTGGTGCTTGCCATCCAGGACAGGTTTCTAAGCACTGAGTGGTTTATGATGAATTTTGACAGCCTTTGCCATTGTTAGCAGGTTTTCCCTGTAATTTATTTCAGAAGGCTGCAGTGTCCCATTTCATACTTTGACAGCCTTCATTACAGGCAGCAAATCTTGAGCCAAATGACGTCAAGGCCAGGAAAAGTCCCGAGGCTGGCTCAGAAGCTCTCTTGAGATGATGCTCTTCTTTGCTGTGGAATATTCTCTGTACGTCACAGAAATAGCTTATTCTAAAGGATTGAGGAATAATGCATTTAAAAGTTTATCCACTCAACACAGCTCCACCCAGGATAACCTAGCCTCTGTGTGCCTTCCATATCTACCCTAAATAGAGAGGAGGAATGCTGACCTTCCAGGAAAGTTGCCACGCTAAGGGGGCCAGTGTCCACCAGGCATATTGCTAAATAGTGTGTCTTTACTCAAATATACTCATCTGCAGTGCTGTTGGTAGTAATGCTAACTGATCATTAGCAATAATATGCTTGTCCTTTATGGGTAAGCACACTGTAATAATGTTGGTTTATCAGGATTTTCCCACTCCAGTTATTTCATCTTCTTAAAATAAGTATCACATGCTTAGCTTTCCTCTTCAGATTTTATGTATTCTTATATTCTCTACTCTTTTTTATATTGAATAAATGAAAGTTTATATAAATATGTATATATATATAGATATAGATATATGCAATTTTAACAAACCTTCACTATAATGAGGTATATAGGGAAAAAAGTTATTTCCCTCTACTTCAACCCCCCAGGGAGTATTGTATGCTAGTGTGCCTTACTGAACAATCCCTCATACATACTTATGAAATAATTTATCTATCCATCTACATATGACATTCCAATGTGTACACACTTATAATAACAGATATTTTTATGTATCTTGGAAGATAAAGTTCATTTGCTATACAAGCTTTTATTCTCTCTCAACAGAGAAAAGAGGAGGTCTTTTTTTTTCATTTGTGTAGATACTGATATTTCATTTTTTTATAATTTATTTATTTTATGTGCATTGGTGTTTTGCCTGTGTATATGGCTGTGTGAGGATGTCAGATTTTGGAGTTACAGACAGTTGTGAGCTGCCATGTGCTAGGAATTGAACCCATGTCCTCTGGAAGAGCAGTCAATGCTCTTAACCACTGAGCTATCCCTCTAGCCCCAATATTTCAATTTTTTGAGATAAATAACAATCCATAAGTTTATTAGCTGTTTCATTATTGATAACCATTTATATTCTTTTGTTTTTAAATTATCATACCTTCCCAATACACTCTCAGAGGATTTTTTTTTTCTACGGACTTATGTGTATGTGTTAAAAGTACATTGAAATAGTTTCATAGAATAAGTTGCAACAGGTAAAATGGCTTGGATGAGAATATATTCTGTCTTAATGCTATTTCCTCCTAAATTTCTATAAAAAGTTTGCATTAAAATATAATGCAAATAAGAACATATAATGTGTGTTTCCTACAACATTTGAAATTGACTGTCTTGTCAGCTTGCACTTTTCTGTAGTTTGGTAGGTGAGAATGCAGTATTATCATTTCTCTGTGTATGTCTGATCAGGTACGCAATTTTCTCTTCCCTCTATTTGCTTTGCTAACCACAGGTGTACAGCCTCCTTGTTATATGAAACTGTGGATTTGTTCACTGAACCAGGGGAAAGTGAAGAATATGAGGGTTTCAGAACAGATAGGAGTCAGGACACTTTTAAACAATCAAAATCTCAGGAGTAGCGCCAGTCCCGGGGTGACAGCTCTGAGCAGTTGGGAGCCTCCTACACAAGTACGACGTATTTATCTTGCTATGTGTTGCCGCGGACAGAGTTGGGAATCTCGGCAACAGTTCTATTAAAACTATCTAAGTGGATTGTTTCTTCAGAGACAGTGTGAAAGCGAAATTCCTGGTAGTGAAAGGTAGTGCACACGGCAACAGAGTGGCAGTCCTAGCCACACACAGTGTAAGCGTTCACTGGGAAACTCTTGGTAATGACAACTCTTTCCTCTCTTTATCTGCAGAGTGTCCGTACAGACATGTGCAAGCAGAAACAGCTAAGCATACCTCCAATTACAAATTTAAATAAGTGATATTTTATTTCCAAAGAGTACTTTTATGTAGCACATCAGATATTCAGTAGAACTATATTAAAACAATGTATTATAATTTTAAGCAAAAAAATAAAAGAGAAAATTTTCAGGTTATAAAACTGCTCTTCCCAGGAATTTTTTTGGGATGGTTTGGAGGGAGTAAAGAAAAAGAACAGATGATTTGATTATATTATAACCTCAAAAAATAAACAGTAAATCGCTTTTTTTTTTTTTTTCAAATTGGTCAATGAAACAAGTGTATTAAGCAATGGTCATGTTACATTCTGTTGTGCTAATAGTGGAATTAAAGGAAGCCCAACTCTCACAATCATTCAGTCAAGGGAAGAACACTTATTGGATATTTTTTAATGCAAAATATGCTACTGACTACTTCAGTACCCAACAGAACGGTGAATTCACACATCCACCCTGCGCTGCAGGCGACAATGACAGCATTGAAACCAGCAAAGAGATTACTTTCACATCGTCTTTCAGCACGCCTGTGTCCCTTTGCCTACATCGCTCCTTCCTCCTCTTTACGTTTCAGCTCTAAAGCTTTAGATCTTACCCACAGTAGCGTACATACATGCATGTGTTCCTGTACACACGTACTTTATTTTACTTTCCAATTTTGTTTGTGACCTAATATTAAGCAAACGACTTTATGTATAACTATACGTACAACTATGGAGAGCAACAGAACAAGATAATTTGAACACAGGGAACTTCCCAGAGACTCATACTCCAACCAAGGACTATTCGTGGAGATGACCTAGAACCCCTGCACAGGTGTAGCCCATGGCAGTTCAGTGTCCAAGTGGGTTACATAGTAATGGGAAGAGGGACTGCCTCTGCCATAATCTGATTGACCTGCTCGTTGATCACCTCCCCCTGAGGGGGGAGCAGCCTTACCAGGCCACAGTAGGGGACAATGCAGCCACTTATGATGAAAACTGATAGACTAAGATCAGAAAGGAGAGGAGAACCTCCCCTATCAGTGGACTTGGGGAGTGGCATGCATGCAGAAAGGGGAGGGAGGGTGGGATCGGGAGGGGAGGAGGGAGGGGCTTATGGGGGGATACAAAATGAATAAAGTGTAATTAATAAAAAAAATTAAAAGTTGGATGGATTGAAAAAATGTGTATTTAAGATATGCATTTAAGATACATTTACATTAAGTGAGCTCCCAAACTGATTTGCATAATAGCTGTATCATTTTGCTTCCCCGCAGGCAGTGAATAACGTTTTTTTTCTTTTCTCATTCTCTCCTCAACTTTCGCTGTCCAATGCCTTGGGGAGAGCTATTCTAACTAGGTGAAGGTGCCGTTTCCCATCCTAGCTGTAGAGCAGCAATCCTCATAACCTGGCCAAATCAGAGAGAGTGACAGCAGAAAACGTAGCGTCTATTTTTATGCATATTTCTGAGTGCTATGTACAAAGACGCTGAAGTTACCAAAGTGGTGGTTTCCGCTTCCAATTCAGCAAAAATATCATTGTGACTCGTGGTGGCTTGTGTTTGGTGGTTACGGTTGTTTTCAAACTTCTAAACTGTGCTGGAGGCCGAGAGATTTGGAAACAATGTCATGTTCCCAGTAGATGCGAGAAAGCGTGCGGTCGCTACTCAAGAGGCAGGGACCAGAGGATTATCGCAAGTTCGAAGCCAACCTGGAATTCGTAGTGAGTTTCAGCCTGGCAAGGGTTACCTAGCAAGACCCTGTCACAAAATCGCCTCAAACAAAGGGCGGAAGGCTGAGCGGATGGCACTGAAGCCACATGACTGTCTCCCGGTATGGTGCGCCGTGGTTTGAAGGTCTTCTAAGCTTCCACTCCAGGCAGCGCAGGGATGCATGGAGTCAGAAACCCTTTCCTGCCTGTGTGTGCCACAGAGGGGACAGAACGACAGCCACCTTCCAATCACTGTTTTTCAATGGTTACAAAATAAGCATTTTTAATTCCATA